ATATGCATTAGATAGCAATGTTAACAGATTTATAGGCATTAACTTTGAAATCAGTGACATATCCAATATCACTATCATTAAAGTAAGAGATGCAATCTACTTTGAAAATATCTTTCCTTTCAAATCCAAATCTCAGAAAATCCTAGATCATCTCTGCCTTCTGTTCTTCCATCTTCTAGTTCTTCTCAGCCTTTAGATATTGAACTTTGAAAAAGTAAAAGAGGTAGAATTCAAAAGGATTTTGAAGAAGACTTATTTACCTTCTTGTTGAAGGTGAGCCAAGCTCCTTTAAGAAAGTAGTGGATTCACCTGAATCTTCTTTCTGGATGGAAGCCATTGATAATAAAATAAAATTTATCATAAAAAATCATACTTGGATACTCACCGACTTACCTCCAGATTATAAACATGTTGGTTGTAAGTGGATATTTAAGAAGAAACTTAGAGTTGATGGTTCCATTGATAAATATAAAGCTAGATTAGTAGCTAAATATTATACTTAGCAAAAGGGCTTTGATTACTTTGATACATATTCTCCTGTAGCCCGAATCTCAACTATCAGAGTATTATTGGTCTTTGCTACTATTCATAAGCTGATCATACATCATATGGATGTCAAGACTTCTTTCGTGAATGGTGATTTAGATAAAGAAATCTATATGAACCAACCTGAGGGCTTCATTGCCAAAGTCATGAAAACAAAGTCTGTAAACTTATTAAATCTCTGCATGGTCTAAAACAAGCACTTAAACAATGGCATCAGAAATTTAACAGAGTCATTACACAATATGGCTTCACTGTTAATGAATACGATAAGTGTGTCTATTCTAAAGTGATAAACAATAACTATGCCATCCTCTGTCTCTATGTGGATGATATCCTTATCTTTGAAAAAACTCTTGAAGAAATCTTAAAGGTTAAGGATTATCTCTCTAAGAACTTTGACATGAAAGAATTAGGTCTTGCCGACATGATACTTGGAATAAAAATCACTAGAGACACTAGATGAATATCCTTAAGTCTTTCTCATAGTATTGAGAAAATGCTCATCAAATTCAATTTCCATAACTCTAAACCTGTATCTACACCTTATGACTCTTCTATATCTTTAAATAAGAATGAAGGTGAACCTGTCTCCCAGCTAAAGTATTCTCAGCTGGTTGGATCCCTCTTGTACATATCCAACCAGATTAGACCCGATATAGCTTATGTTGTAGGGAGACTAAGCCGGTATACCAGTAACCCTAGCAAAGATCACCGGATTGCCTTAGAGAGGGTATTCGAATACTTTAAAAGCACAGTTAACTATTACTTGACTTACACTAGGTACCCTGATGCTATAGAATGGTATAATGATGCCAAATGGATCACAGATTCCAATAGTATAAAGTCTACATCTGGATATGTATTCCTTTTTGGTGGTGTAGCTGTATCTTGGAAATCCTGTAAGAAAATAATAATTACCAGGAGCACCATAAAATCTGAATTGATTGCTCTTGATACCACTTGCACAGCAGCAAAATGGTTAAAAGATCTACTTTCTGAACTTTCTTTGGTCCCTAAACCCTCTCCTCTAATTTCCATTCACTCTGATTATAGATCTACCATAGAGCTTCTAAAGCAAGTACATGTAAATAAAAAACTTAACAGACATATTCAAATAAGATATAAATCTATACAACGCCTGCTAGGCAAAGTTATGATTCTAGACTTTGTAAAGTCTGAGAATAATTTTGCTGATCCTTTAACTAAGGGTTTATCTAGGAGTGTGGTTCTGGATTCATCGAGTGAGATGGGGTTAAGCCTATAAGTGAGGTCACTGATAGCGGGAACCTAATCTTTATTTGGAGACGCAGTCGCAATGTAGGTTCAATGTGGTAGAAACAAGCTGGACTAGTGACACTCGTGTGAAGCATCGACCTAGATATATTCATATATCATTATGATAGCATCTGCTATTTCCCCTTCTCTATGGTGACGATATTCTTATGATACAACTAGTTAGGTTAAGTTTTACTCTTTATAAGTCCAACACATGTATTATGGAGGGTATGATATCCAGCTGTAGTATCCTTGGAGGACTTACCTACATGAGAGGAACCGTGATGGCCGCAGTTTGGGGGTGTGGAGGTGGGGGTGGGGGGGGGGGACTGGGCTAACCCCTAGAAACTCTCATGAGTCGGTTAAGTTTGGGGGTGGGGGTGGAGGTGGGGGTGGGGGGGGGGGACTGGGCTAACCCCTAGAAACTCTCATGAGTCGGTTATTGTGAGCATGACCTTTAACGTTCAACCCGCTTTGCTCAATATATGAAGACGTATTGCGTGTGTTTTTATTAATACCTGGTACAAGGGGTATAATTCAAGGCCTTGTCCATTATGTCACTCAGGTTGTGATGAACTCACTAAGAAAATGTTCAAAGCCGAAAGCTACTTCTCCCGAATTCACGATACGAAAGGTTACCCAACCTATATTTGTTTTGTAATTTATTTATTTATTTTGAGTTTTTAGTCAAATATTACCTTTTTTTTTGGGGGGGGGGTGTTGGCCTTGTAGAGGAGAAAATGCAATTTTGCCTTTAATGAATAGCCCCACATGGAGTAAGTAGATGAATAGTAGAGGGTTTATAATGCTTCTACTCTCTATAGGCTTTGAGGATCCCTAAGAAGGGGGTGTTTTAGGCTTGCGTAACACGCGCCGCGCCGCGACGCGATGCGTTTTGGTTTTTCAAACTTTTATTTTACATGTTTTTCTCATTTATTTTGACTCGACTGTGGGAATTATGAATGTGCGTAACGGCTGAAGAACGTGCGGGGAGTTAGGCGAATTTGGCGCACGTTACCGGTTTTTCTGCAACGGCTAAAGGGTTTCTCCACCTATAAATATCGTGCCTATACCCAGCTTGGAGAACACAGAAAAATTCTCAAAGTCTTCTCCTTCTCCGAAGCAATTCTCTCTCTCTCTCTCTCTCTCTCTCTCTCTCTCTCTCTCTCTCTCAAAATTTCTCGGCTATTGTTACCTTTATTTTTTGGGCAACTTTCTTCATCTGAGCAGAAGCTCTGCACTCTCACCCGAGTTCAAAGGTCGGCCGATTCCGGGAGTTTTTACCGTTAGGGGAGAGAGGATCATCTGCGCTAGGACGATAGGCAGATCCTTAATCTTCTAGGACGGTGTTTACACGACTGTTCTCGATCTAACCAGATTTTCTTGTTTCTTTTATTTCTGATTTTGCATGCTATAACCTTATTTTTGGTTTTTATATAACAAAGATATATAACAAAAACACTAATTTTGTTAACACTCGATCCGTTGACACGTAAGATTGCTGTCACTACGAAGATGGGCGCTGGATTCCACCTCATCCAACTCCATAATTCACGAATAATTTGGGAGCTCCTATCCCATTCGCATTCTTATAATATATGATGGAGCGATTATAGTGTTATTATACCCGAAATAATACAATACAATATGCATTTTGCTAGTACTATTCACGCAACTCTTACTTCATAAAATACAAGCTGAAGGAGTGCGTTGGCCTGAAGCCAGCAAGGGATCTGTATATTAATTGTCACGTCATTTAGGTCGTCTGCTGTAATAGTCTATGAGTAGGAGGAAAAATTGATAGCGTTCCGTTTGTACAAACTCATATAGAAAATTTTTCTTATAATAATATTAGAATTAATATAAAATTATAATCCTCAGTCTTTATCATAACTTCTAAGTTTTGATATAATGGTTAGAATGACTTAACTTAAGAGGGTATCAGAGCAACCAATGTTCAAATCCCAAAGACTACTGTTTGAGTCTGGGTCTCAACCCGTAAAAAAATGGAGTATATCATTAAAACATGGATTGTTCTTATAATATCTTGAAGTCCATGTCACTATGCCAAAATTCCGAAGTTGTATTAATGATCATTGACGATAATAATTTTATACTCTAAAAGCATGGCTAGCACGTCCTTATTGTATTGAATTTATAAATATATTAAAATACATGTCATACTCTCTTTTATGATTTTCTAATGAGATGGTTAAAATGCTATTCTAATTTTCAGTCCAATTTTCATAATTAGCAATGTTTAAAAATATCACATTTAAACGATTACAAACATAAAACGGAAACACACACATATGCAAGTAAAGAACCTCAAAATAAGAAATTTTAAACGTGTTTTAGTGCCAATTTTGAGATTGACAACTTAAGTTACTTATATGTATTATTGTATTGATTTATATTCTTTTACTAATTTTTTAAACACTATATTGTATCGAAAAATTCCTTGGGGACCCCAAATCATGGGACCCAAGGGGGGACAGGTGAGGTGTCAACCCCTGGGTGCATGATCTACTGTTCATGAACAGTAGATCATGCACCCAGGGGTTGACACCTCACCTGTCCCCCCTTGGATCCCATGATTTGAGGTCCATGTAGAACAACTCATATTGTATCTAACTATTTATACTGCTTTTAAATATCTTCTATATTTGATTATATAAAGTCATTTTAGGGCTTTTTAAGATATTAGTTCCCCAAATATTTGATAATTTCGTACTAGCTCCTCAATGACCAAAAGTTCCCCTTATATCTAGGGTTCTTGTAAATTGGTCTATCAATGCCCAAAACGACCTTCAACTTCTGTTCTTACGAACATAAGGGCTTTTTTTTAGAGGAAATGTAAAATATGGGTATTTTGATCACTACGGGACTAATTTGCAATAACTCTTAACTTATCATGAACCCTTGAAATGTTTGAGGGACTAAAATGGAGTTATTGAAGATTTGAGCGACTGATATCTAAAGCACGTATAATTTTATAATGGGAACCTGTGCTGGAATTTTCCTACCAAAGGCAGCCGTGGGGTTTAGGAGTGGCCCCCACATCAGCAGGTAAAACTTGGAGGCTGAG